TAAATCTTTCTTATATTTTCGAGTTATCAAATGAATAATTACTACAATAAACCTGAGGTATAAGTCTTAACGAAACGCTTTTAACTGTGTTCACCTTAATATTAACAATTCATGTACACTGATTGGACGCTTTACTACGACTCTCATACAGCATATTTGGTGAACTTTTCGTTTATTTGTAAAATATACTGAACCTATGAAGTGTGCCTGACGTTTCTATTTGCATAAATTTAATCATATCGTGGTTTGTTTGCAAGACAATGAACAAGAGCAAGGTTCTCTCCGACCTTTAAACGGGGCATGATTATGAGCGCACATTTTAGTATGAGTTTTGCTGTAAATAACCATTTCTTTTCCAAGTCATTCAAAGATATCTATCATGAGAGTCTATCAAGAGTGGAAACGAAAATCGAGTGTGTCTGCCTCTGGGGAAAACTGGTGAGAGAGAGGAAAAATATTATTGCATTGGCTTATAAAGTGCAAATAAATTAGCTTGCCTTTTTTGCCAACTGATTAAGCTCTTCCACCAATAGGAGTTAGATGCAACTACCTCTATCCATATTATGCAAAAGTGTCACGTGACAGCTAAAAAACAACCCATAACCGCTCGTCTAAGATGCAAACATGAAATCCCGGCTTTAGCAGTTCTTAGAGTCCAAACTGTTAACAATGAATAACTGGAAAAGTGTTCTGATAAGACCGTTCAGGTTGAAAATACCAAATCCTTTTGTAAAATGTAATTTCAATTTTGAAACTATTTGTACTTGCTGATTACAAAGCCATGTAAAATGGAACAGTTCATTTTTTACAGCCTTTTAAAAGTGTGGGGTGTGTGTGTTCTTGAATTAGCATACGAAGCAAAACTTATAATAGAGCTTCTGCAAAAATGCTTGAAACAGTGTTTTCATTACCTGATATAACTGACTCACTTTTACTATTCAATACAGTAACTTGTGGTATGTCCTGTTAAAACCTAACTTAACATAGCACATCTTCTGGTGACATGTTCCACTGTGGACATGTATTCCTGTTATACATTATAAGTTATACCTTAAAATAATACAGAAATCGAGCTGTTTTTTTTTATTTAATCTAATTATATAGGTGCGAGTGTGCGTTATTTTTCGAATTTTAAGTTCTGAGCTACATATTTCTTTAGGCTTCCGAGGAAATGTACCAGCTGACATTCCAGCTTCTCACTCAACGTCAACATAGCAAACTATTGTCAACAAATCTCACTTGTCTTAGTATCAGGAATCAGTTGTAGGATGGTTGTTGTCGTATTTGTCTCTTTACCCGACTGATAAGCAAACCCGTCATGGCCTGCTGGTTAGAGCGCTCGACTCGCAATCCGCCGGGCAGAATGGCCGGTGGACGGTGGGGGGTGTTATAACTATTCGTTTGTAAAATAGAGTTGGCCTTCGCTCTAGTTTATCACTGCTAAATTAGGGAAAGCTAACGTAGATATTACGCGATATTCAAAAACAAACAAAGTGGTAAGGATGAATGCCTTTCTAAGACACTTGCGAGTGTATATTGTTAAACTATGAATAATTATAGGTTAAAAACCAAATGTTAAAGGAGTATAAAAATTAGTTACCATCTTCACTTGGCTGTCTAGTTATCATGAAGTCGGGAACATTTATAAGAAATATTTGGTGTAATTTGCGGATAAACGGTGCAAATATAACAATTTAATCTGAACCTGACCTGGATTTTCTGCCTATTCTGTAAATAGTTTCTTTTTTAACAACCTCGTAATAGGTATAATAAGCCTACAAGACCTAATCACATTAGCAATAGGACAGTTTTGTTTTCGTCTTTAACGTCTTAAAAATGTCATCCATTTTCTTGGAGCTTGTAGCTTGTAGCACAGGTCATCATCAAATCGTATCATCATCACCAAACAGATGGACGAAGTTTGTTAGATGAATTATACACTTCCTTATAAACATTACACACTTCTTAAAAAACCGTATAAACGCTAAAATAATAGATAAGAAACACAAAATTAACATCGATACACAAATAAAACCATTTTTAATTCATGCCAATCTATGGCGCAGATAGCCCATTGCGTAGCTTTGCTTTTCATTATTTGAAGTAACACATATACCTATACAATAATATCTTACGACTCTCCAAAAGTATTTAATACTGTGGCAGTTCTGGGTTGTGAAGCTGAGGGTCTTTGTTCACGTTCCGTTGCTGCAAGGAAAAAAAAAATCCATATTCGATTAGAGTAGTTCAAGAGTTGGCGTTGGGTGCTGTTGCTGTCTTCTTTACCAATTCAAAATTAAGGATGGCTAGCGCACATAGCCCATCTGTAGTTTAGCACAAATATATGAACAAAACAAACCATACTATATAGGAGTAAGTTGAAACGTCACCTTATCTTTTACAGATGCCATTTGAGTCATCGCCACGTGTTTCTTTACAGTGAACATCTCAGACATTGCACAATTGTAACACTGAAATTAACCTGTAATATATTTTCCATCTTTGTGTTTTCGAGGTTTCAGACAATTCTCTTCGTTGATAATTTGATACATTTCAAGTTTCTAATATATATTCACTAGAAGTCGTCAAATATTTCTATAAGTTGATATATATATATATATCATTTTGCATCATGCATATACATATCACTATACTTTGCCAGTTTCTAGATACAACAATTTAAGACATCGAATCTTTATATATATATATTACAAAACTTTATATGTTTCTAGATGCAGATGTTTGCAAACACGGTGCGCTTCTTGAAATTTGGAATCTTCATCTTATACGGTAGCTTATACGCACATGAGATAAACGGACAGGACTGAAGTCCCTAGCATTCAGGTACAGCAGTCGCTAACTTTGACCTACTGACCAGAGGTAATGCACCCAGTCAGTAGCAGCACCCGCCGACAGAAGAAAACAAACAAACCAGGGCTTTGTCCGGCGCTTCGAACCTCAATAACTGGACTGAATACTACTTTTATAACTGCGCGTCCACAAATGAAAGTGCGGAGCGTGTTCAGCAACACTACATGTCGAACCCAGGACCCTTCGTTCCGTAGCCCAATACGCTAACCACTATGTCACGTCCAGCCCCGTATTTTCTTTAACGGATATCTAAAAAGCATAATGTGTTGGTAGACATTTTGGACTGTCGAATATTTCTATATTTAAACATAAGAACGTAAATTGCGATCGTAGACTTGGAAATGTAGAGACGTACCTTGTCTTTCTATGATAGTTTGGACATACAGACATATCTACTGTATCACGAGTTAATCCATTTAAGTTGCCAGAGACGCGCTATTACATGATATTGGCTTTATGACTCTGATGCTTCTACTCTATGTATCTATTACCCACATCAGGTACAAATCCACGGAAAGACTACATCCCCTATACAAGTGAAACAAATTTTCCATGTTACGTAATGAACCAAACGATTTTTTTTTATTATTTTCATCCTGTAATCCACAATTAAAAAATTATATCTTTATTAACAATCTTTTTTGTTGCTTTATGACTCTCCATTCTCCGTCCTCTGGTGGGACAGCGGTAATGTTACGGACTTGCAACGCTAAAATCCGGAGTTCGATTCCCCGCGGTGGACACAGCAAATAGCCCAATGAGGTTTTGCTATGACACACACACACATTCCTATTCTTCAAGCATCCATTTTTCATTGAAATTTTCTTCTTACATTTCTTTCATAGAAAATGGCAGATGTTGAAAGAACATCATAATATTTATTAAAGTTTAGCTAGAAACTCCATGGGATGCAAAATTAATGTGAAAAAGCTAAGCCTTATAGAAAATGGAAAATGATTTACGCTATATAATTGCTATCATGAGAATTCTTCTGTTTACATTTGTTGTTATTGTATAAGAAACAACCCTACGGGCTTATAACGCTAAAATCCGAAGTTTGATAGCCCATTTCATAACTTTGCACTTAGAAAACAACAACAAGTGTGAGAAAAAACTTGGAATTAACTTTAGCGGCTTTTAACTAACAAATTGACAATATTAATCTCCGAATCCTTTAAACATATTTTTTTGATAACTACATTCATATTTAGTATGTTTGTTACGTTCAGAATTATATTATTCAACACAATTTTGTATTATATATAAGCGTTATATTAAACATAGATATGCCTGTAATGAGTCTCTTTTACTGTAAATCTGTTGTTCATAACGCGCGCACATATTGTCACATAGTTAATTTGATACAAACCACTACGACTCCCCGTGGCTCAGCGGTAAGTCTGTGGGCATATAACGCTAAAAACTAGGTTTCGATAACTACGGTAGGCAGAGCACCGATAGGCCATTTTGTAGCTTTGTGCTTCATACCAAAAGCAAACAAAAAAAACTGTATGATTAGTTCAAATCAAACGCCTGCAAGAAATACACTCACAATTCTAATATTTGTAAGAACAACATGTCTTCACCTTATATCTACCGTGTACACAAGTGCGTTCGTTGTAAATGTAATAGCTTTCTCTCACAAAATTAAAATATTTGGAATAAACAAGTTACTCACTTCGTTGTATCAAATACGCTTCTATTATAATACCCTCATTATACCGTTTGGAAGCAAGCATAAGTTACCACGAATATTGAGTGCGTTACACATCTGAAATTACCTAACATTTTCTTCAAAATGCTTCTGTTTTTTTTTTTTGGTATATTTTAGTTAATTGGGAAACAAATGTTTATCAAAACTTACCACGTTTCATAGACCATTAAACTCTTTCACTTTGGAGCTTCTATTTGAAAAATATTCCGGAAGTCAAGTAAGTAACTGCTTGTCTTACAAAAAAAATAATTATAAGATAAAAAACTGTAGATTTTTTTTTAGCATTTCGACTTCTGAATCGAATGTCACTCACAAAGCGGGCACCACAGACTTTCTGGGTAAGTCACGTGCCTACTGACGTAGGGATAACGTCAGCGCTACTCGAAGTAGGAATAAAATCTTGGCTCGTTGATAGTGTAAGTGGCACTGTGAAACAGTGGATGTTCATTAAGTGATCTTTCCTAGATCAAATAGATCTAATAGCCGCTTTATTTTCAACTTCAATGATTAAATCTGCGAGTATGGTTTAGCTTACCTACATTGATTATTGTCAGATAAACAAAGCCGGTTCGTTATTCAAGGTGTAGGAAAACACGACTTGTTCCTGGGTTACTTTGTTCTAAAACTGCTTTTCCTTTAATTTATAATTAATTGTGAATTTCACGCTTACAGTACTATTGTCTTAGCGCTTCAGTTTACTATATAATGAAAGAAAACAGCGTACGAAATATAGTGCGTTTTGCGATCGGAATTAAGAAGTTATATTCAGAAAGCAAGTGACTTCTAAGTGCTGTAAACGTTTGTTTTCGCAATGACTGACATTCTTCCGCCTAGTTCAGAACTGACGTATTTTTCTTCGCTAGCTGATGCAATCTTGACTACTTTGCTACCAATAATGGATAATGAAAGCACTAATGAAACTGTTCTGGGCTTTGGACCAAAGAGAGACCCTCCATCAACAGTGATTCCCATGACATTAATTTATACAGTTATCCTGGTTACTGGGGTTGTGGGCAACATCTGCACGTGTGTGGTCATTGCTAGGAACAAGTACATGCACACAGCCACCAATTACTATCTCTTCAGCCTGGCGGTATCCGACCTTCTTCTGCTTATCTTGGGCCTACCACAAGAAATGTATCTGCTGTGGCAACGCTATCCTTACGTCTTTGGCGAGTTCTTCTGCATCTTTAGAGGCTTGACTTCCGAGACTTCCACTAACGCCTCTATCTTGACCATCACCTCTTTCACTGTGGAACGATACCTAGCGATCTGCCACCCACTTCGGGCCCACACCATGTCAAAGCTGTCTCGGGCGATCATGACCATCGTGATTATCTGGGTGCTTAGTGCTTTATGCGCAATACCACTGGCCATTCAATTCGGTATTGTCCACGTTTTTTGTACTTTGAAAACGCCCTTGAGCCACGCCTTTGAGATCTCCACTTTTCTGTTCTTCATCCTTCCTATGACACTGATCACGGTATTGTACGTGTTTATCGGAGTAAAGCTGAGAAGGCCCTCGGGTCTGGACCGTAGCGAAGCCACTTCTAGTACCTCAAACGGGGTAAAATCGCAGCTGAAGCACACCGCGAAGGGATCAAGTCAGTCTTCTCGACGAGCTGTTGTAAAAATGTTGGGTGAGTAAACTTCTTTTCGCTTGTTCAACAATTGAACACGTGGATTAAGTATACAAGTATTCTTATGCTGTTGCTTTTCTTTAGTTGTTGTTTTTATCTTCCCTTTCTCATAAATTATTTTATCAAGATCATAAAATAACAAATTTTTATTAACAAGTTGTTGTTGTTTTTTTGAGTTGAATAGAATGTCATTTATCAGTGGATCAAGTGCTCTCTTTTAATGAGTGTAGTGCAGATCTAACGTCATACAAAAGGAACAGTAAGTTTCCCGGACATTGTACAAGATAGCCTGTGGATTGTTAGTCAGTACTCAATTTAAATGCAAAAGTCATAGTCTCTTTTAGTTGTTAAACTCTCGTCGTAATGATATTTTCGAGATCAGGGTTTTAAAACCTTTCATGATTCCCCCATTTTTCTTCATGACCAGGTTTTTACGTAATAACGCATAAAGTAGTTTTAACAAGTGAGTAATGGGATCCTTTTCAGAGCTTCTTGTCATATTTCTACAACATATTGCAGTTTGTATTACGAAGAACCCATTTTCGTCGTTTTGTTATGCACTACACACCTTCTGCTTTCTGTAAAGTATTCCGAGAAATGGGTTCACTGTTCAGAAGGATTTACCAATGATGTAAAACTAATAAACTGTAAAAAAAAGTACGGTTGTTCACCCTCTGCCACTTTCGTTCTACACGTATTATTTTCGTATCTTGGAAATTTTAAGCAAATATAGAGCTTAGCTCTAGACCATAATGGAGTATCATCGACTTCATTATCTCTGTATTTTAGCTTCAGCTTTTACGTATGTATTTATCGTAAAACCGCCTTTAAAATAATGTACGATATCAGCTCATTTGTTATTGAAACTGAAAATAAAAACCACCTTATAAATATGTATATACCTAAGACATTTTTATTCACTGTTTGTTTGGTTGTTATTAAACACAAAGCTACACAATGGACTATCTTTGCTGTCCCCACCACAGGTATCGAAACCCGGTTTTTAGCGTTATAATTCATTCACTGAACCTGCTATAAAACGCCTTGGAAATGTTCACCATAGGTTTACAAAAGTTGTTGTTTCTTCTTTGCTGTTTGAAATAATGCAGCGAAAGAACAGATTCAAGTAGGTGGAAAATTAATCCTTATGTAATTTTTATCCGAAAATCCAATAACAATATGTTTCAGTAATAACCGGTATAAGATCTTCGTGGCAAATCTCTCTAACAGTAATTACAGAACACTCGGTCATTTCAGTTATTACTATTCCGTTACGGTAGCTTGAACGCCGTGCAAAAGGAAATGTTCTTCCGATGAAGATCATTTTCTAAGACGTTATGGTGACCGCATTTGTTCTCTCATTCGGCTATCTTGACCAGTTTGTTATTTGTACGGCCTCCAATGGTTTATCGGAAAGAAAGCGAAGACCAGAAGAAGTTAACAGAGAAGGGAAATACTATTCAGCCAGACATAGATTACTCTTTTAGTAATGAGATGTATAGTAGGAAAGAATACTAGAAGTTTATTGACTGGGATATATATATATATGCTATAAACTTTATGCAGGTTCTGAAACAACTTAAAATTCCAAACCGATTTGCATACACTTATTTAAAATCACAATTTAAAATATACAGTATATTACAAATTGTTTAAAGGGCTTGAAATATTCTGTAATAGTGTAACTGTACTGTATTTGTACTTATGCCAAAGTACCAAGCCTATCTATCGCCGTTCCTAATTTTGAACTACTAAATAGAAGGCCCGGCATGGCCAGGTGGATAA